AGCCTGCAACATTTTCAATTTTGCCGTGTTGGGCTTTCTTTAGGGATTCTGTATTTATCTATTTTCTGAATATCTCAATATGGTGGTAAGCAGACTTTAAAACAAATGTGAATAAGTAATTTCCAGTAGAAAATAATGATTTTGCTACTAATTGATCTTTAAATGTACATCTATATTTGAATAAATCAAGATTCACGTGTCTACAATCTAATACCAAACGGGGCTTCCCGGACCTGCTAAAAGCAACGGTTAAAGGATTAACTACATGTGGGGCAGTTGTAACCTCTGAGATACACCCCTTGACTAAAATAATTTTTTAATTTCTTCAAAAACAAAAATACGATTTTCCAGCGCAGACTTATTATTTTTTTAAACTTTTTTTCTCAGGTAAAGCTTTCAGGGGCAGCTTAAAGCCTTCTTTTATAACCTCCGATACAAAGCTACTTGTGCTTGCTTTTTCCCAATGAGAAATATTTTCCCGCAGTTTGCCAACTTGAGATAGAACCTTTTCATAATTCTCTCTTGATCTACTATCAAAAACTGACTTATCCGACAAATTATTCAAAAATGAAACAGGATTTACATAAAATCTACTTATCTGAGACGCTTTAGCATCCTGTACCTCTGAAGATCTCATCTTACAGTCAGCCTGCCAATGCCCTGGTTACCCACAACAAAAACACAAGCCCGGTTTTCGACCTATCGTCTGAATACGAGCGTCACGGCCGATTGTGAACTGGTTGCCGGAACTACATATGGAGTATTCCGCTTTGACCTGGCCCGCCTTTCCTGCTTGGCTTTACGGTACGCATGTAGCTGGGCTCGATACATCCGAATCTTCGGCTAGCGGGTGTGCCTCATATTCATTTACAACCCTCCAGCCCAAATCAGTTGAGTCAGCTAACTTAATAAGTTTTTGACGGTGAATAAGAGTGCTCATACCTTCGACAACTTTCTGCCGAACTACCTCTGCTTTTGACGAACCCTCAGTTACCATGTCACTAAGCTGACCCTCTGCTTCACGTAGACTGCCCAACACTTGAAATTAATCTCAAACTGCTCCTCATTTCCTTTCTTTCGAAATTGATAATTGTCATTGGAAACAAAGCTCTGTTGAAATTTAGCTATCTGAGCCTCAGCAAGCTGTTTCCGCGTTTCACAAATCTTCGTTTCAAAAACAGCCAACTTATTTGAAACAAGAGCCTCCATCCTAGTCAATAATTGATTTTCTTCTGCCACGTGGTCCGCACAACAAATCTCAAAAATTGGATAAAACCGACTGAACAATGCGCTAGTGTCCGGTAGACTGAGTTAAACCTACTGTAAAATCCTTATACAGTGTATATACTAACACGATACCGCACGCATAACACGTGCAGATACTATATACATTACAAAAACTGACAATTACCATAGTGTGTATATGCATCGTTTAGACAATATTTTCACGCTATACTTGAACGAAACGCGTGAAAATTTTAGTACCGTCCATAAACAGGCTCAATCAAACCGAGCCTGCAACATTTTCAATTTTGTTGTGTTGGACTTTCTTTAGGGATTGTGTTTTTCTCTATTTGACAGTTATTTGTTTTCATGTTCATTCAGGTCATACATGTATTTTTCAACATGGTAATTGAGGGTGTGTGCGCGTGTGTGTGTGATTTGTTTTGTTTTGTTGTTGTTGTGTGCGTGTGATTCTTTTATTTTTAACGGATAACAAATAATACTTTAAGTATAAATTAGTGATTACATATCAATATTTCTCAAATAGAATTAGTCAGGACGGCAAAGCCGTTTATAAATTTAATGAATAATTAATTTAATAAAGTAAGTGCTTACACACTTACCAATTAGGCTTTTGAAATTATTTTTATTCACCGTGATCTAATTAAATAGAAAAAGTGATAGAAGCCGATTTACCAAACTAATGATGGTTTTTTGGAATTTCAATACAAATTAATCACAGTTCAAACAAACATGTACAATATTCTCGAATCTACTTTAATGCACTAGTGAAGTACTACCAATTTCCATTGGATCGCATGTTTTTCATGTCCCGTGGCGCACAGAATATAAAAATATGTGCACGGCTGCCTGAAAAGTCCGAAATACCTCTTTATGTACGATCATTTTTTTTAAATATCATTCATCCATCCGTGATTAAAACATGCCATACAAACATTTTGTAAATCCTAAAGGATTTAATTAAGATTAATGAGTTCAAATACAATATAATTTCTCTTTTTGAATTGATATAAAAATAAAATGTAATTAAGAAATATATGAAAACGTAGTTAGAACATCAGCCGTAAATCTGTATCGTTGACCTTTTGTCCATTTAAGAAAACCTGAGCATATTATGTTGAGCATTTCGTAACGATCGCTGTCAATGTTCTGACTAACCACTTCAAAACAGTATTGGGGTTATTTAAGTAAATACTCTTAAATAAACAAAAAGGTTATTTCTTGATCGTCGTTGGTACATTTTTAAAAAAGTATCGAGAACCTTCAAAATGCTTCACAACTCATCATCAATTATAACAAGATTTAGACGTTAGATGAATGACTTTGACATGCTTACAGGAACAGTCAAGAACTAGCATAACCGTGTTCCTTTTTGTTTGTTTTTTTCCTTGTTGTCTTTTTAAAGATCCTGTAAAATTTTTTTCTATGGTTTTATATCATAAATTTAATGCTCAAATGAAGATTTATTAACATTGTAAGTTCGTTCCAAAAAACATAATTTGTAAAAATATTACCGAATTACCGGACATTTCATGTACAGTACGCTCAGCTCGGCTTTTGCAAAACCCTCGTGTCCCCGCGGACGTGACTCATCGCGGACGAAAATTTGCTCGACAGAAAATTTTCACCACCGCGGACATAAATCTACAGCCGTAAGCGTTTACCCCGCGGAACACTGTGGTTAATTGCGGGGGAACGCAGTGGTCAATCTCCGTGGACTGCGGTGGTATTCATCATGAAAACCGTTGAATTTCACAAGTATTTTATGGAACTTGTAAACTTTATGAAAAACATGTAATAGTACAGTTAAGAATTTATATTAGAGTCTACTAAAATAATTTATTTGCCTTTATTTTCCATTTCAGAATGTTTTCAGACGTTAATTTCAGAAGTTTCCCTGACCCCGATTATTTAAGTTAACGTAAAAATGCATCTATTTCCGTGTGAATAGACATATTTTTTTGAAATGACAAGCTGTTCGGGCCCGTTTTAAAAAAAAAAGTTATTTCACCAGGTATTTTCCGTATCTTTCCAGTAAATCCGATCGTTCAATCAGTTACAGGTGTAAACGTATTTTTTTATACAAATGAGTATCCCTATTTACCGACAAGAACCGTCAAGGACCGACAATAACCCATGTGTTGTTAATAAACATGTACTCGTACATATTTAATACATGCAAGGCTTTTTCATTTTCTTTTAATCTGAGTGTTTGTTTTTTGTTTCGTTTTTTTATATATGGAAAATTAAAAATATGGTGACCGACAAGAAAAAAAATCTGATGTAACGCGTGTTACATTCGGAGATTGGCGAGTAAAATTTTTTAACTCTATTCTAATATTTCATCGTAGATTGTAAAAGTTTGGGGTGCTGTTATTTTTGTTGCAAGACATGAAATAAACATGGGGATGTTGTAAGAAATGTACTGTTAAAATTCAGAACTGTATCAAACATTGTAAAATTGAGGGAACACTGTTTTTTTGTAGAAATATGTGTTTTCCGTTGACTAAAACATTCGGAGATTGGCGAGTACAATTTCTAAACTCTATTCTAATATTTCATCGTAGATTGTAAAAATTTGGGATGCTGTTATTTTTGTTGCAAGACATGAAATAAACATGGGGATGTAGTAAGAAATGTACTGTTACAATAAGAACTGTATCATAACCAAAGAAATATCTTTTATATCAAAGAAAAAGCATCCTCAGTAACTCAGGCCGTATACCGGTATCGGTATTAAAAAGCATTATTACGGATAGTGTACCGTGGGTTCTGGCGATGAGAAAATAAACAATTAAAGTTATTTTAAAAATGCAAGGACTGCGTATAAATTACTTATTCTTCATGTTAAAATAAAAGTATATCCACGGTCATAGATTGATGTAAGTTTTTTTGTTTGTTTACTTTTTTCTTTTCTTAGATTAACTTATTCTGACCCCGCGTTACCCCACAAAACTCGAATGACTGATTTTAACGATAATATGACTGCAATCGTCGGATTTTGGTACGCGGTGGAAACAACTAGACCCCGTGGATCGCGGGGGAAATGATTGTTTTTATCGCGGACCTCCACCGCGTTTATCCGCGGTAGAAAAAAATCGTCCGCGGTGGTATCGTGGAAAAGGCAAAAGCCGCGGTGAGCGTACTGTTAGTAAAGGGAGGTAATTAAGAATTTATTTTCTATAAAGTCAAGTTTTTCAATAAGAAATGAATGCATATACTCGTATTTTAATGATAACATAAAATGTGGACAAATATTTGCAGTACATATTTTACATATTCTTCGATGTTTGAAAATTGTTTTAGAAGCATAATTATTTACAAATATAAAATTTACATAAGTGTGGTAACAACATAGGATCTTTAATGTTCGGACAAAATTAACACTATGTGGCTATGACAATATTGTAAATGAAAATATTCCTGCATTATTTCACAACATGTATATTGTTATGATTAATTTTAAAAAAACCTTCACTGTCAAAGTTCCATGTAATGTATACCGTCTATAAAGTAAAAGATATATAACCTCATTCGGCAAGGTTTTTTTAAGAATGATTAATAACGAATATTATCCAAAAACAAGATTGTAAAAGTTCCCAACAATTAACGGGTAACCAAATAATTTAATTTCAGAAAGCAGTACACGGAGAAGTGTGTAACATTTTAACATCGAAATACAATAAAGAAGGAAAAACATGTCATGTTATTCCTTTGCATCGTAACATAAAATAAAATTGTTTTCATGTTTTCAGTTTGTCCTAAAGTCCTTCTAGAGGATGGTTATAAATTTGCTGGAGCGTCAGGAAAGCCTGTAAATTTAACTATACCATTCTTTAGTTATCCAGGCATAAAGGAAGTGAATTTTCAATTTCAAAATGGAACAGTAATCAGGAACTCTAATAAGTATACAATATCTTACACACGTAAATATGTGACAACGAAATTCTATGATAAGACAGTGGAATTGGAAGGATATGTTGCAATACTCAGAATAGAGAAAGAAGAACAAAAAGACTTTGTTAATTACACCCTGGTGCTTAAAAATGGCGTAGGAGAACAGACAAACTGGAATATACATCATATATCAGAAAGTATGTTTTTTATTCATTGAAGGAATAAATATGTTTTACTGTTTAACTTATATATTTCTAAAATGTTGCGACATTTCATCTGTGTTAGCAACGCCTAAGCGATAAAAAAAAAAACAAGAAAAAATAAAGAAGAAATAACAATATGATACAATTGAGTACAATAAAATTCAGCATAGTTTTATAGCTGCATGTAACTGTATAATACTTAAGATACACGCATACAAATCATTTTATTCCAATGATTGCCAATCTGTTTCTTGTAACACCTTTAATATTTAGATTCAGACAAAAATGAGATATGATCGAAACAAATTATTAAAAATAGTATTTTTGTAATTATGTCACAATGTTTTTGTAATTATGTCACAATGAAATAATCATCTTCATTAAATGTGTGCCTTGAATATTAGTTATGCACGTCATCTATAGACATAAATATATTTGCTTACATCACGGGTGTCTTTCGAGGCACTTAAAGCAAAGGATCTTCAAAAGATATTATCCTTAACTTATATTGTTAAGCGTTAAGAAATAATAAGTCTGCAAACATCTAGACTCGGTTGTTCAAAACATTGGTTAGTGATAACCAATGGATGAAATCATTATCTATTGGCTAAATTTTGTCTGTTGGATAAATTCTGTTGTTCAAAAGTTATCTAACGGATAAAATGCGTTATCCAGTGGTTAACTTTTACCAGTCCTATGATCACCTTATAACGCCCTTAACCAGTGGTTAGTCATCATCATTAAAGCAATAAAAATCATTCAAAATTGCATATGAAATGCACAGGATTAAATTAAAACATTTCTGAAAAAGTGCTTTTAGAACTCTGTTTTCAGTCTAAATTTGTTGTTGTTGTAATTCCGAAAAAATCAGTTAAACAGTCATAACTTTCTTATTTTTTGATAAAACATACATAAGTGTGGCAGTACTTTATTTTCCTTAGTTAGAACATTACCCATTCTAATGGAAATTTTCAATTTAAAAAAAATTTGAAAAAAAATAATGTTTTTGATTTTTTTTTTCTTGTGTGTGTCCTAGGGTGAAATATATCGTATCGATACTTTAAAGGCGCTTTGATACACTTTTCTAAAAAAAACATTCTAAAAAACATGCAAGCACAGAAACATGCATAATTAGTTTTTGGATCTTTCCTGATAAAATAAATGGGCCCCCATTTTTTTTTTCCCAAATTTCCACAAACCCCCGGGGCCCCTTTTTGTTTGGGGGAAATTTAAAAACCAGGGGGGAAAAAAAATTACGAAAAATCCACGGGGGTTTAAAGGGGCCCCTTTTTACTTTTTCCCAACTTTTAAAAAAAAAAGGGAAATTTTTTTTCCACGGGAATACCGGGGAGGGCGGGTTTTAAAGGTTTTTTAAAACCAGGGGTTTTAAGTTTAATCCTTTGGGTTTTTTAATTTTTTAAATCCAATTTTGGGGGAAACAACCCGCCCTTGAAATCCCCCTTAACACACCCTAAACTTTTTTAAAAAAGGTTTTGCTGTATTTTAAAAAAACCTTTTTTTAAACTTTCCTTTTAATGAGAAAAATTAAAATTTTTTTTTTAATTTATAAAATTTGGGCCAAAAAAAACCCTTAACAAAACCAAAACTGTTTTTAACAATTCCCCCTTTAAAAATTTTAAACCTTTTTTTTATTTATACTTTAAATGGGAAAAACCTCCCAACCCCTAAAACTCAAATAAATTAAAATTAAAATTTTTGGGGAAATGGGAAAACCTTTTTAAATTAAAGGTTTAAAAAAGAATGGTTCCCCGGAAAAAGAAAAACCCTAAAAGGGAAAACAGCCCAAACTTTAAAAATCAAAAAAAAATTTTAAAACGGGACTAAAAACAACAGTTTTTTTCCCTTTAAAATTTTTTTAAGCCCCGGGTTTAAAAATTTAAAATTTTTGGGTTTATCAAATTTTTTTTTTTTGGAAGAAATTTAAAGAAATTTTGGGGTTTTAAAGGTTTTTTGTTTGGGAAATTTTTTTTTAATGAAAAAATGAAGAAAAACAAAAAAAAAAACCCAATAAAAAACTTTTTTTTTTCCCCGGACGGGTTTTTCCCAAATTAAAGCCCCCCAAAATCGAAAAATTTAAATACTGGATAGGGTTGGGAATGGATTATAATTTTTCCCCTTTTGGGGTTTGGAAAATTTTTAATGGAGGAAAAAATTTTCCCCAAAAACTTTTTTGTAAATAGCCCCCTTTCAAAAAACCACCGTCTACAAAAGGGAAAATAAAAATTTTAGATTAAAAGTAAAAACAAGATTTTTCCCCGAGAAGTTGGTGAAAACCCTTTTTTTAAATTTTTTAATATAAAAAGGAAAAATTTGTCCCCAAAAAAACTACATTTTTTTAAAGATTTTTTTTAGCTAAAAAATACAGTGGGTGGGGTTTAAAATAAAAAACCCTTCGGGCCCTCCAAAAGCCCAAATTTTAAAACCCTTTTTCCCCTCACCCCATCCGGTTTTAAAAAAAAATTTTAAACTTGGGTGAAATTGTTAAATTGCCCCAAATAAAACAAAAACCCAAAAAATTTCCCTACCTCCTTTAAAAAAGTAAATTTTTAAAAATTTTAAAAAAGACATTTTTAAAATTCAAAGTTAAATAAAATAAAACAAAAGCCCCCCCTGAAAAAATCTTTTTTTTTATAAAGAAATCTTTTTTTTTAGGGAAAAACTTTAAAATCAACATCTTTTTTTTTCAAAAAAGGCCCCCCAAAATAAAAAAGGGGGTAAAAAATTCAGTTAAAACCCGGGGCCAAGGTCAAAAAAATATAAAGTTGAAAAATTAATTTTTTTAAAAAAATTTTGGGAATAGGGTTTTTCCCCAAATTTTTTAAAATTTTTGATTTTTGGAAAAACCCCGAAATTCCCTTTTTTAAATTTGGGTTTAACCCAATTTTTAATTACTTAAAAACCCAAATAAATTGCCCAAAATAAAATTTTTTTTTTCCCCCTGCAATTTTTTTATAAATAAGAAAAAACCCAACCCCCTTTTCCCCCTTTTTTTGGGGTTTGTTTTTTGGGTTTTTAAGGGCCCCCAAAATCGCACAGAAAAGGTTTTATAACCCGCGCCCTTTTTCCAGTTTTTAATTTGGAAAAAGGGGGAGCCCCTAAAAGGGCCCCCCCTTCCCGGGGTGCATTTTTTTTCAGGAAACAAAAACGGAAAAAACCCTTATAAAAACCCCCGGGACTTTCCCCCGAAAAATCTAGCTAAAAAATTCCCTTACCTCACATAAAAAAGGATTCCAAAGCCCCCTTGCCCCGAAAACCCCGAACCAACGGGGGGGGAAAGGGGAAAAGGGGTTAAAACCCTTTTGGGAAAATGAAAAATGGTTTTTAAAAAAAAAATTTAAAAAAATTTTAAAAAAACGGGAATGCCCCTTCTGTTTTTTTTTAACTCATTTTTTAAATTTTAAAAACTTTTTCCCAAAAAATTGCCTTTTTTTTTTCCAAAAGTTAATGATTTTTTGCATAAAAAATTTTAAATTTTCGACTTTGCCCCCCCGGGTTTAAAAACAAAAAATGCTGATAAGAAAAAAAATAAAAACCCCGTTATTTTTCCGGGGGAAATTAACTGGGGCCCCGGGCTATTGAAAATAATTTTTTTTATTGCCCGTTATCTCGGGCCCCTTTAAATTGTAAAAGAATGGGAAAATTTTTAAAACCCCAAAAAAGGGAAAATCATTTTTCATTTTTATAAACCTTTTTTAAAAAAAAATTTTAAGGGTTTTTGAACGGGGAAAAGAAAAATATAAAAGAAAACTTTTTCAAAAGAAAAAAAAACAGGGTGAAAATTAAATTTATTTTTTGGAAAACAAAGAAAAAATATTTTTAGTATATCTAAAAAAGGGGAAATATAAATATAAAAAAATAAAAAATATCGTAATCAAAAAATGAAACAAATGTTTCCATAATAAATATGTTTTATACGAAAGATTGAATCAAAGTAATTGCAATGTAAAAAAAAGTCCTATAATGTATTAATTTATATCAACTATATTTCTTTCTTAGGAGACAAAACAATTACAGAAACTGAAGGAAGGTATTTATTTTATAATTATAAAAGTATCATATCAAATTTTTCAGTTAAGCAATTCATTTGATGTTAACGAAGTAGGAAAACGTTTTCTTTATCATATTCTGTTATATTCCATGGTTGGTATTTTTTAATTTATAATAGTTTCTATTGAGATATTTTAAATTTACATAAAGTGATATAGATGTGAATTATTGTAACACATACTTATTCATTTCAGATTGACTTATGAAAGTCTTCAAACGGTATCTGAAGCTCAAACAACATATTCTTCATTATCATATGCAACAGGTATCATGTTTTTGTTACGTTCAATACATGTACTTAATATTTATAATAAGTCATATTCAAAGATTCAACGTGCAGAATATCAGACTAAGATAAATAGAGCCGCGTAATAAATATTTCATTTATGAATGACATCATTGGCGTCATCAGTAAAAAAATAGAACTAAATGTATTTATTAAAGCATTAATTTTCTGTTGCTTGTGTTCTATAAGTTTGGACGTCGTCAATTAACAGTCCTGTGGTTATGGTAATGTACTTTACAATCGCATTTGATAGAATAGGAAAACAGCAATCATGTATTATACTGATGATAGTATTGAACACACTTGAAATGCTCATTATTTTGCGCCATTAATAAGTGGAAATGACAAAGTAGCAAAAAAGTAACTAGCTAAAAGTAGTACATTATTGAAGGTAGCAAGTTAATATAATATACTTTGAAATAGTTACTTCTATGAAACGTAAAATCAGAAGTATATTACTCTGCCATATTCTGCGCATCAACGAATCTTTAAACTCTTTTAAAGTCCCTTTTCATCATCGTTAAGTGTTGAATAATATGGAAAGGGGTCATAACACTTTGGACAGCCTTCTGTAACGTGAAAAGGGATTAAGACAATGACATGACTTAAGTTTGATTCATGAAATGTTTTGGGACTGGTTGGTCCATATTAATCAAAAATGTTTTTTTAGAAGTGTGCACTAAAACTTTTACGTTTCAACAACTGATTTCCAGCTTGAACATGTTTTCTACATAAATGCCGTTGAATTTAATGACAGACAGATTGCTTCAGGCTTTTATTAGTTATAATTTGTGTTTCAACAGATCCCAGTAGGCGACAAGACGACAAAATATACGAAAATTTGCGGATGCAGCAGACGTCATTATCAACAATCTAGAACTATCGTGATGAAGGAATTTTTGCATCATTGACATGAAAAAGCGTATCAAGTAATCAAATATCTCAGGTTCCCTTTCATTTTAGCAAAGACGAATTTTGAAGGAGGAATAAAGTTTCACTTTAAAAACTTGATACTGTATATTGAAAATGTATGTGTTATATAAAATTAATACAAACCTTATTATTCAACATATTGTAATAAAACTTTGCTCTTTATACATTACTTGTGATTCGAATCAAAAGTGCTTTTGTTAATGATGTTTAAGATTTTAGTGTACTACATTTCCGCTTGCCCTTTTGTTGATGAATGCCGCTCTTCCTTGTTGATCTTATTGTTACATCGTATATAAACATGTTGAACACATCTGTTGATTTAAAAAATAACAAAATATTACGGATTCATGTTAATTCTGTTCTGCTTAAACCGGTACCAAGGGGCGTGAACGATTGCTTGCAATTTCTATGTACTGCCGTCCATGAACAGGCTAAATCAAACCGAGCCTTCAACATTTTTATTTTTGGCGTGTCGAGCTGTCTTTAGTTATTCTTTTTTTTTTGTTATCCTTTGTTTGGGGAACATGTCATAGTTACATAATATAGTATTTATATATAACTTATTTATTTATTTGTAATTTCCGTTTATTTTTGAACTCAAAGAGAGAATTATTATTGTTGTATTAGTAAAAATCATAGTCAATTATTCTATGTAACAAAATAAGAGGTGAGTACTTTGTGTTAATTTATGGCAAACGTTTGTTTCACATCTAATTAAGGGCGAATAATTTTAACAAGCAGTCGGACAACATTGATTTCGGAAAACAAATTTCATAAGGACACAACGTGAAAGCAAGTAAGGCACTAAGTAAGACCCCTTTGACTCTTAGACCCCTCTTACTTCCAAACCCCTATTTCACATGAAGTCTCAAAGTGAACCCATTTTTCCAATTTCATGTATTTATTATATATTATGTTGACTTTAGTGCTTAAAGAAACAATTGTTTAATTCATGAAAAGACCAGATGCACCCCGGTTATAAATTGTTTTTGATGTTTTATCTAATCTTTCTTAATTATAAAGACTCACTTTTGGTTAGAAAATACGTAAAGTTATGTATCACAAGCTAAAACAATTTTGTGAAGACATTCTAATTGAAACAGGTTCTATTTACGGAAACTCTTAGGTATATTACAAAATGTAGAATAGATGCTGTGTGGTTACAACAATGTCAACATTTATAATTAAAATAAAGTTTTCAAGAATATAGGAGTTCTGGAAACCTGACTTCAAAAATATGGATTTTAAGGATTTACATTGATAAAAATTGATATTTTTTTATTATTCATATTAACTTCATTCATATAAATATGCGTGTATGTTAAATGAAGTATTCTCTGACAGACTCACTATATTTAAAAAAGCGCATGTAAGAGTGTCGTATATTTCATCCCATCCCGCCTTTTTTCAAAAAAGATTTTTGAAACTTCGGCTCCGAGTCATCTTTATACCTATTTTGAGTTAAATTGTATTAATGTTCTTAATAAATGCTTAAGAGATGATGTGACCCCAGTCGGTACTGGGTGAGTCACAATGCAAGTGAAGAGACGCCTAAAGCACACCTATGGTAAAACCTTCTGCCTATGTACTCGTAATAAAAAAGGAATAAAATTTATGTATCTTAATGAAAAAGCTTTATGTATTGAGTTAATTCTTCTCAAATTACAGAATTGTTTGAATCCAAATTCGTTGTTACATAGGGCCCCAGAGCAGCATCAGTACATAGAGTGTAATACTTAAGTACCAGTACCAGTACTTGCAAAGTTATGCAGTACCATTACCAGCACTAGATTTTAACTCGGTACTGCAGTATCAGTATTTTAGGAAGTAATTAATTATCAATACTAATACTTTTATATATTTATCATATTTGAAATAAATACACACTGTCAAACAAAAATAACATAGTATGCAAATTTACATATTTTAATGATTTTAACTACATGTACAAATTTTAAAACATGCGTACATTATTCAGCCAAAAAATGAAATTATCATTTTATTTAAAATTAATATTACATTCACACCTCTGTCCAATTTATACTAAAGTAAATAACCCCTTTTTATGCAGCTAACAATATCACTTGAAATAGGATTATTTAGAATAGTAGAAGAGATTCCAATGTGTGGCAATTGTTTCGTCACATTTATTGGTAACAAATATCGAATATTCTCTTAAAGCATTATTTAAATGTAGTAAAATTCACAGTTTCCCTTGTCAAGAAATTAAACAGAAACACACATGAATTATTCGTTCGAAGGCATAATGTGTCTCTATATTACTAATATATAATAGATATGATGATATTATTATATTTTCAAGTATCTTTTATTTATCATAATTTATTTCTTCAATTTGTATAAATGCCTTGTTAAACATTATGATATTAATGCTCATATTACATGTTGTATGTATGTTTCAGTAAATAAAAATATACATGTATGTTGTTGTCATTGTATTTGGTTAAAACTCAAAGTCAGTTCAACAAATCTGCATGGTTTATATTTATACTACTACAATAAATGTAAATTACCATAAAATATTCGCTAATTTATCCCTTAACGATGAATCCGTTTCGATAACTGTTTAAAACAGTTGCATAAATTTTAAAACATGAAAAAACAAAGAAAACAATGTAAATAAAATACATAATTCATGTATGTATTATGATTTTTCTATGCTAAATTTCCATGTTATGCACTTTCTTAAGTTCTGGTTTTCTATACAAAATGTAGTTATAAGTAAGATTTGAAAACTTACTTTTTCACAAAAATAAAAAAATACATGGAATTTACATTTTTTTCTATTTTTGAGACAAACTGATGACATTTTTATCAAAACCAAAGTAATGCCCTGTAATGCAGTTCTACTTTTTAAAACAGTAATGCATTATCTGTACCAGTTAATTCAGTATCAGTTCCAATACTTGCAAAATTACTGCAGTACTAGTAACAGTAATGTTGCTCTGGATAGGGGTATACCCAGTCTCAATTATTTTGTTCTCTACTTGTGAATGATCTCAATATTAATTGCCGAAATTTTAGATTAAAATCTACAGAAAACAAAAGTTATGTTTTCAGGAAGTACCTATGAATTGTGAACAGATGCATTTTAGTTATAAATAAAAGAAAGTCAACTCATAATAATAATACTTTTGTCCTAGGAAAATTCAATCCTTTCAAAGATTTTGAAAGATTGCTAAATGCTATTGTCTTTGAAAGATAGATGAAACAATTTAAGTTTTCTGAATAACATCATATGTCCTTTGGTTGTCATTTGAGAGATGATGCAAATCTGTATAATTCTGAACAGAATATTCGTTGTCGTTGGTCACAGCAGCAGTATCATTTGTTGATGGCCTAGAATAATCTTCATCTGTATTGACAGTTTGGAAACTCAGATTTGCGTATGCTCTGCAATAAATTTTGGTAGATTAAATACAGTTTACGTGATAAGTAACTGCAAGTGAAACAGATACATATATATTCTAAAACACATCCCTACAATTTGTTGGAATATTTATCCTATAGCTCTGAGAAACATGACTATGCAGCAAATGACATAAAACGTTTTATCTTATAAGCATAGTATGTTTCTTTGTAATAGTCCCGCACATAATAATGTTTCCTGTGACTGATATTATGCATTTAATATATTTTATAGCCACCTTTTTAACTAAGTAAATAGCTGTATAAAGGAAAAAGAATAAAGTTCTATAATAATGGCGACTTACCTTTGACTTGGCTGTGTAGATGTCTGTGCGTCTTGAGATAATAAAAATTAAAAAAAATAATCAAATAGTTTTTTGACATCTTAATGCAATTACATGTGTATTATTTTATAATAATGTGTATTATTTTATATATATCGTACTATTATAAAATCAAGTTTGCTGCTTAAATGTAAGTCTACATTTACCTTCAGGGGACTTAAAATATATATCAGAACGAACAGTTAAACAATGAATAGCGGGTAAAGGGTCTTTAATGACTGCCTAATGAATGTAAACCTGTATATAAACAAAGTTTAAACAATAAGATACAAAGCATTGGTGAATAGCATGAATTAAACGATATGGTAAACTACAATTATTCAAATTATTCATTGCTGGACTAGCATGTTATCATTTGTTTGGAAGTTTTGCAAGTAAACTTTTTAAAAATTATATATACATGTATATTTAAAAAAAAACTTTATTGAGAATATTTTTAAGTAGTAAAATTGTTCACCTAGAAGTATCAGTTTTCGTTTGAAGTAAATTGACATGCTTATAGCATATATCGTAACTGTGACAAACAGAATGCCGAGAGTTACACTAATAATTAGTCCTGTGCTTTCCAACGTCTTTTTTGAGGGAAGAATGGTCTCAGTTGGTGTTTTTTGTTGCCCTTTAATAAAAAAGATCAGATCTAAATATACATTTTTATAATGCAATAAAGTGTTTTATAACGTTAGATAGAAACTGTGTATGGCTTAAGTGGGTTAAGTGACTTAAATATATAGACGTTTCGTTGAGATATCGACATCTGTATGAATGCAAATTTTGATAACTACAATTATTATCATAGACTATAACACTAAATAAATACTTAATTAAAAAAAAGATAAATATGTTTGCATCCATATATAGATGTGCAATGCAAACAGACCGATTTATTTGAAATACTGTAATAATTTAAAGAATGAAAATAATTATTATGTGTACTTTGATTGTACATAAAAGTTCGTGTTCTAAAAATATGTTTTGTTTTAAATATATGAGAATTGCAAATGATAATTAGATTTTATTTTTTTGTATTTAAGATATTGCTCACCTGTTTCAGTTAAGAAAATGTACTGCTCATATTTGCCGATTTCATTTGTCACAGTTACACGATAATGGCCAAAGTCGGACCTCGATACGTTTTTAATAGTCAGTCTTGTATGAAGACCTGATGAGAGGATAACTACGTCAGCGTTACTCAGTAGCGGTATCCATGTGAAACTGTTTTGTTTGTGCCAGACGAAACCATTCATTCCGGGTTCTGGATATGCTAACGCTGTAAAATTGAGTGTCGCTGTATCATACAACACGCTCGTGAAATTCGTCTTCATTTGATGAAGAGGACGCGGAGAACCTAAATGTACAAAATATATCAGCATGTCATCAATTTCATGTGTTAAACGATCAAGACGAGATCAATAGCAAACCGTTTAATTTGTGATGCACTTAAATGTTTTATCCCCATGCTCGTTTGGAAATTAGTGTAAAGTATTGATCAAACTGAAAAAAAAGTACTAAAGTTATTCGAATTATTTAATTAATTGATGTCACGAAGTGCTTTAAGAATACAGCTATTGAGATCATACAATTGTGCTAAAGTATTGTATCAGTAAACAACCTCTTTGCACCCCTTTTAGTTAAAATAAGGTTATTTCATTTTTTAAATATAAGCATTACATTACATACATATTATTTGAATTTGTTAGTTTAAAACGCAGTTTAAATGCTATCTTATTAGGATAAACACGTGTTTAAGTTTTGAACTATAGTAAACAACATGTTTCAATGTTTAACCTGTTCATTGTACATACATTTTATATGTAACTCCAATGTTGCTATGGCATCGTTCCCAAAATTATACTGATTCCTCGCAGTACAAGTATAAATACCAGATTCGAGACAAGTAACAGCTTTATGTGTGTAGCGTAACGTGTCTGTCATGTTTTGTCTATGAAGTATTTTATCTTGAAATGCTATTTCAATATTTGATCTAGGATTACTGTCTATATTACAAACAAACAGTACATTGTCATTCTCATCTACTGTAACTGACGAAACGTTTACTCTTCCTTGGGCAACAAATGATACAATCGATGCCTTATCTGTAAAAGGATATATCAAAATTTAGTTATTATATGAACAATTTTAAACATTATAGTTTTTAGTTAAATGCAGACAATCGATAACGGTTGCCTTGAGAATGGTAAGATAGATTTGAAACAGTAAACCTTTGAGATACATGATTGTCATTTTGAGCCTTAATGAGCTATTCGAAGCCTCAAAAGATTATTCATAAATGGATTAACTAAAGATGTTAAACAAGAAAAACCATTACCATTGCGTTGCATTTATATGACCATTTAAAACTAGAATTCCTTACGTAATTGTTTAATACATTTATAGCATACAAAATAAAATGAAATGCTCATTCAAAACTTCAGCTGAAACGATGTGTACTTGTAGAGAGTAGGTAGTATTTCATTGCACTATACGATTTTATCGGTGTATACTTGCAGCAGAATGTAAATTACATAATGAAATTCCTTGAAACTTTCCATATGATAGACAATAATGAAGACCCATTTAGAGTAAATAAAAATGTGTCAAAACACTATGTTGCATAGTTGAGGTATTTGTTGTTCCTATTTGTTGTGATCCATCTGATGGAATAATTGAAGTTTGCAATGTACATGTATATTGGCCATTGTGCTTTGCTCCACGTGTAGATATTTGGGTTAGGGTTTCCAGTACTGTAAAAAGCAACTGATTATTTTTTCCCGGGGAAAAAACAATCGTACCATTTACTTTAAAATTAGAACATTCTGGTGGGTCTGAAAAATATCATGTTATTTAGGACTGTTTCTACAAATATACATATAGACTGTTTTCTCCTTAACTATTACTGTTTGTTAGCAGTAACTTAATGTGAACCGTGCGTCGTTCGTGAATGAAAGGGTAAAACTAACCTTAAAGTTAAGCATGTGTGTTCAAAGTCTAAAAATAAAAAATGTAAATAGATATAATAGACAGCTCTCGGTCAAAGGTCATTATATTTACGTGTAAAAAAGTTGATATGTGTATAATTGCATTGTCATGTTAGTAAATGCGAAATAAAGTTAGGAAGTGACTGGATATTTTCTGAGATAAAATAAACATGTGTTCTGCCAATATTCGTTGTTAATTAATAAATTGGTATGTTTCAATCAAACATATAATAAAAAAACTACCGACTTATCGCTTCGCTTCATCTTAATTATGTAACATCCGAAAACATTTTAAGTTATTTATACTAAGAGGATATACAGATATTTTCGTGTGCCTGATCAGCGAGTGAAAATGTATTGTGATTTTGTTTTCTGTAAATTAACTTTTTTATTTGAATTTACTATCAACAACTAAAAAAACTTTGGACACAGCAGTTGGACAGCGCAAAGTAATTAACTGGTTATTTATAAATGAATGACTTGATTCAATACACAATTTTGACGATACAAAAAGCAGTGAAACTATTGGCTGACAGAGAAAGAAATCTCAAACGTTGTCCCTAAAATCAAATGTGAAGTTTGACTCCGCTCACTTTCATATTCGTGTCATATTACTTTTGTTTTTTAATAAATATGATGCATTATTGACTGATAAAGCATCATTCACGGTTAAAACTAAATAAAATTAGCTTTTGCCATATGAAGTTATGAATCCGATAACAAATGTCAGTTACCATATTTAGTAAAGTCATTGGTTAACTTACATAACACTTCAATATTAACAGTTACTGATTGTGTTCTACCAACTGGATGAGAAGATTTGCATGTACAAGATCTATCTTGGCCACGTAAGGCTGTAAATGTGACAGTTTTTGTAACATTTGATTCCACAGAAGAAGTCGACGTTGATCCAGAATTAAAACAGTCTCAAGACAATGTTTGCTAGTGGATTTTTCCTTTCCACGCTTGAGGCAAGAGGAGTAAAACTTTGATTTTTTTATAACGTAAAATGTTTCAACACGTGTTTTTTGAAAATCCTTCAAATTACAGGAGGACCATTGGTGAATCTATTAATAAAACAGAAGAAATGTAGTAGTAGACTACTCTAAAAGTATCATTTAATCGTTACTAAGAAAACTTTGGAATGACTTAATAAAAATTTATAGAAATTCACTGATTGACAGAAACATTCTTGAAGAAACAGAAATGTTCTTTTTACTTCGCGACCATCCGCTATTTTTCATGGAATGACACCAAAGTCATTATGCTCACTGTCAGTAGATTTGAACACATTTTAGGAGTTTGTCTTATTTTAAATCTTATGTCTTTTTCTATTTCTTTTTTTCTTCTCCTTTTTCGACTATTTAAGTAAAAGCTTTCAGACTGACTCTTCTCTTTGTGACGGTGAAATAAATTAGATACATGGACTTATAAGAATATGTGCTAATGATTTTTGTATGTTTACAAAATATTTAAACGCTGTTTAAGCAATTTACTACATCTATTTATTTATCCAATAATACTTTTCTTATCAAAATAAACTTATCTTCTCTATTGATAAACGTTCATCCTCTATTAATTGCATTTTTTTTGTTTTAGTTTGGTTGCTATAGTTAAACCTTATTTTGCATTTATAGAAAAAATTACTTACACTGTACATTGAGCTGCGGTTTTCTGCTAGATGTAAGATTATTAGCAAAGTTTATAGCAGTGCAGTATATTTTTATTCCATTGTCTTCTTTTGCCGGGGAATAGCGGAGTGTACTTGTAACATATATCAGATCACCAATAGTAGTCTCTGTTGCTGTGGCAAAAGTCGTTATCTCTTTATCATCATTTGTTGTTGCCGTTCTTTTATCTTTATACCACCTCACTGTAGCTTTCGGTTTCCCTTCAGACGTTCTGCAAATAAATACTGTTTCTATGTTCTGCTGTATTGTAACAACATTGTTCGTTGGATTAATCATCTCAACAGTCTGTATTGGTACTGAAATAATTAAAGAGGAGAAATATATCTTCCGGAAACCATTTATTCAAAACGATTATTACAAACATAGGACAAAATTTAATTTGCTCTTAACATATCGTACAGAATTACTCTGGAGGTATTATATTTGCACGTGTGTTTGTCCTAAGCTAGTTAAAATAAATACTGTGTGTAACGGCACAGTCGTAGTACAAACAAAAGCACTAACAGACAGCCATCATCTCGTTAACAAGGTTGGCAATTATAATGACCATGGCTGTGTTTACACATTATAACCTTAACATACGCGTTGGATATGGAATGTTAACTTTTGCTTTTAAAAGTTGGAATTTTTTTAGAACTTTTCCCTATAAATTTGGTTGGACTCGAATAGTTATTTAAAATTAAAACTAAATTGTTTTTAAGGACTTACCGATGAAAATACAACGTTGTTCCATACATCGAAACTATAAGAAAGTAACATATGTCCTTGCAAATATAGACTATATTTGCTTCAAAGAATGTCAACAAGAAACTACTTATAGATATTTTTCTTTTAAAAATATTTTAGTTTATGTTTTCATTGATGTATATACTATACACATGTGTCGTCTTCTATGCTATTGTATAGTGGATATATGTTTATACGTACGTTAATGTTTGTAAACATTGTTCATTTATAATCATGAATATTTAGTAACAGCTATATCTCATTATATCGGTTATTTCAATCAAACTTAAAGGAAAACCACTGTCATTCATTAGAATAACTTCCTCATATACATTACTCAATTTAAGGATTTAAGTTAATTGCATGGGATCGAGATGTTTCGGTATCGATTACATTTTAGCTTATTCTCTTTAATATATAATTAATATTTAGTAAAATTTTAGCTTTTGTCAATGTAAATATGAAAGTTATTACGAAAAGGAGCAAGGCCTGTACATTCAAGAAAGGTAATGGAGTCTAGGCCCCATAGCGGCCTAGTTTTCATTATTGCTCGTGAATGGACTTTCTGCCGCTTTAAATACACAAACATATCAAAGTATTCAATGGGTAAAATATTATTAATAAAGAATTCTCACAATGCACCTTGCTTGATATTTGTTCACTCAATTATTGCATAAAACATTAGACATTACACAATCCCCCGACTAGGGTTTCGATAAAGAGGCTATAATCGTTTAATTCCCCGACCAATGTTTTCACAAGTTAACATGAACTTAGATTATTTCGACGATGGCCAAATATTTATCACGCAGTCAAAGTACACTACAATTCAGTATGAAATGTTTGATTTACGTGATGAGGCTAGGGCATTATTGGAGCCTCACATCAACCAAATTGTTCTCGGCTCAGATATATCTGATGAAGAGTAACAACGCGAAACAACTTCTACCATTCCTAGTGAAGCTCCTTCTCTATCTGACAAAGAATTAAATTATTCTGTCATGAGCATTGAAGAGCCGTATTCAAGAAAAAAACACATAAAGAGACACCAAACAGATTTCAAGAACCTATTGCTCACGAGGAACTTCAATATCTACAAATAAGAAGTGAGTATCCTTTTAACTTTTTTGCTTGCCTTTTCCCCCTTTTTATTTGTTGATTTGCAACGGTAATTGATAAGAAAACAAACTTTTCACTTCAATATTCAGTGAGGGTGTAAATGTTATCAGCAGAAGAAAAAATAGCATGGCCCATGTAGGACTTGAACCTACGGTCTGCTTTGGTTAAAAGCTGGACAGCATAACCACTACACCAGCGACTCTCGTAACTGTGCAGGCCTCAATAATGCATAAATAAATGGTAAATGATTTAAATTATGCCTTACTGCCCATAAATACAATACAGTCTGCTGAAATAATGTGTTGTGCTTTCTGTTTTTGGTAAATATTCATATTTGTTCATCATGTTAGTAAATGAAAGTAGTTCTTGGATTTTTAAAACTCCTTTAAACCACATAATCTCTTCTTCTAATGTTATAATTTGGGCCTTGCACTTTGGATTGTTGACATGATTACGTGCTCTTGATTTCATTAAATAATCAAATGTATTTTACAGCTTCTCAGCTAAAATGTGGGGGGAGGGGGGGGGGGGGCGTTACATTTCGAATACCAAAGACTACTAAAAAAACAGTCAAGGAGGGCTCAGACAAAGGAAGCTTCAACCGAAGTCGGTCGTTAAAAATAATAAACCACTAGACACATACATCATCAATTTGTTTGAAAATGTTCATTACACATCGTCCAGCATTAACTTCAAAGAACGTAGCATTTTATCTACAACCTTTAGAAAACCCAAAAGGATATGTTTGGTACAGTAATTAATGCATCGGTCGCCACAAATTAGGTGAAACAGTATATTAAAGGACTCTCCGGTTTCCGGACAAATTATTCTTTGAGAGCTTCCGCGGCATGTCGCTTGTTTGAGACAGAAGTAGTTGAGCAATTTTTATGTGAAGTGACTGGATATAGATCGAATGAAGGTATAAGCAGTTAAAAGCTATACAAGAATAAATCAAAAGAGAAAGTTTAGTGAAACTGTTCAAGGACAGCGTTGTAAAAAGCTCAAGTGAGAAACACTTGAAAAAGTGATGGATTTTGATTATAATTCGGACAACAATATTTTTTTCTATGAAAAAATACGTAAGTCATAAACTTAATATATTTGTAAATTATCTGTGATATCGAATGCCTGTTATGTAAATCCTTCAGAAAAAATATACTGTTTTGTTGCCTACTCAAAACTACTCAATAAAATTTGCTTTTTTTTGTTCAATAAATTCCCGACATTAAAACTTGTTATATCAATGTATGCTTCTCGTTGAATGTTATGCTGCTATGACAAATCTGATTGTCATCGTATATAAAATGAATGGCATTGATTAAATGAAAATTGCAACTACATTTCTTGTCATAGATTGCATGACTTAAGTTTACACAAACATTCATATTTCTGTCATATCGTTATGGAGAGCTAGTGATATAAAAGTGTCCTTTACTGAAAAATAATGGACACTTTTTGAAAGAGAAAACCCCAAAATTTACTATATGTAGAAAAAATGATTGTTTCCTTAAACTTTGTTGTATGGGTTACCTCCTCCTACCGTTGTAGAAACCCCAAAAGAATCTCCATGTATTCACTAGACGTTTAAATTTCTGATGTCCAAAATTGTTATGGTTAGGAAAGGGGGTTGTCATTTTGGGATCTGGTTTTTTTAGAAAAAAAAACTTTTTGGCCCCCATCAGAGACCCTACAAAAAGTTGATTTGAGGAAATTATCATTGTGTATGTTCAAAGTAAGATCTCCGAAAAAAGAGTTTTAAATATCAAGGGGCGTGTCCGGAAATTTTGTTTGACAGTGTTTTCCCATTGGGTTTTATGAAAGCAAACACTGAAAAAAAGAAACTTAAATATGCTTTTTAAGTTAAGGGGACGCCAATTAAATATCTTTACATCAATTGTAGAAAAAAATTGAAATAGGCAATTATATAGATAAGATATGTATCATTGTAAATTAAACTTGAGCATATCTTTGATGGAATAATTATCAAAATAATAACATGAACCTGAACCTAGGAATTATACCTCCTAGCGTACAAATAAATGCCAGTCTTTAAGGTTCATTCTTGTATGCATTTCTTTCTTTGCACATAATTTAGTACTCAAAACCAATACTTTGAGATAAAGACATTTGTTTTCCTTTGGGCACTCAAATGCACCGCCGATCAAAGTACAACAAATAAACACTTATGCTAGTAATGAATAACTTACTTCATATATATTTTGATTTACATAATTCATTCACACGTGGATAATAAAGCGATTTAACAAATGCAATGTTACATAAGTTTTATAACTTTGCAAATACGCCGACTGGTTACTTTTCTTAGATATACGCATGAATATGCACTGCCAACAAAATTGAATTACATTGCGGGATGCCGGCGATAGTACTAGCTCCT